CCATTTCCGTATTTGCTCAGCACGCCTGCCCGCTGGTTGCAATGTGATTGGCTGAATATGCGGGACCGGAAACTCGCGTGATTTAGGCACAGTGAAGAAAATGATTTTGAATCCAAGAGAAGTTACAATTAATTAAATAACTCACATATTATACACTGAAGACAAGTACTTGAATTTCGGTTTCACATAAGTAAAATCTTTTTTTTTTTTTTGAAAACACCGGAACATGACATTTTAATGTTCAACCGATGTACATGTTTATCTTAAATCCATCCAGAGATGTTTTTTTTTCATTGTAGCTTGTACTTTTTTGACGTAGATAAAATAGTTTTTGGACCTTTTACCAGTATTAGTAGATAAATAAATACACGAACGCTCCTAGTTCGTGGTTGTATCGTTCAGGGCGCGGAGGCTGCGCCTCCCGGCGCAAAGGCTTCGGACAAGGCTAAAAAATAATTAGCTTTCGGGCTCATGCACATTTACACGATGAGATCACATAATGACCTTGGAGTGAACGAGGTGGTGTTTGCTGCAACGTCTTATTTCGTGAATGGATCATGAGGAAATTACAGTCGCTCTCCAGTATGCATAAAATGCTAGATTTGACGATTTTGATGCTGCAGATGATATTGGTATAAATTCGTTTATCGACACAGGAAGAGATATAGATATAAATCACCTTGTAATTTACTAAGAATGTCAACGGCATTTAACGCATTTTTATGTTTGCATGCGCAGTATACTAAACGAGTAAGTAGAGTACTCAATGGCGAGTTTGGAGATACAGGTATTAAAAAAAATCAAATTTAATAGATTGGTGTATTTTCTGGAACGTCAACGTAATAAATATCTTTATGATGAAAAACCATTAAAATAGTCCAAAATGGCATATAGAGGGCTAGGGTGGATTCGCATAACATGCAGCCTAAATTTTAAGACACAAAATAATAATAATAATAATAATTCTTATTATTATTATTATTATTATTATACTTGATCATCCACATTCTGGAAATTGTCCTCATTTTTCGGGTGGAAGGGTGGAGGCATACTTTTCACAGGAGATGCACTCATTTATGATGCAGAACAGTGTATGTTTTGAAACTATAGAACCAAAGCCCCCAAATCTATTATACGGGAAAGTGAAAATGATCAATATCGGTTTGTTGAGATGAAAATCCCAAATGCAATGACACACGCTCATTCAGTGAGTTGATTTTGGATTTGTAATTTACTTTATTAGTAGGAATACATCTTAATATGGCTCAAGGTTAATTGATACATTTCAAGGCCAACATTAAAATAATGGTAGCATGTGCCTATAGTTCAGAACATATAGTTAGAAATGTGCCGAAGCCTACCCCGTCATTGTTTTGAACCACACAAGGGAAATCGTCTTCTATGATTTTTTTTTTTTTTTTTTGCTTACTTGAGTCTCAACCATTGACACGTTGACGGTAGTAAATAATCCGCACAGTGTGCTGAAATTGTCATAAACGATTGATAATTGCTTAAATATTCTGCTCATATTTGACATGTTGCTGCAAACAACAGCGACTTTAGTCAAGACCACACGTTCATTCATCTACAAATTCATTCATACATCATCAGTATATTTACATACAAAATAAATTGTGTCATTTAAAATTGTCAACTACGCCCACGTAAACGGATGTAGAAGAATTCAACATCCAGTTTTTCGGACTGTGTTTATCAACACCTATATCACTGATTGATATGACTATGGAGCCCACATCGCAATTTTGCAACTCCACGAGCGGTCGGTTTCACCAACAACCAAACAGCAAAGCTTCCCAGCTGGGTAGCTCCTGAGTATCCTGCAAAACGCTTTGGTGCCATCTAGCGACCAACTGGTGGCGATGTGTAAAGCCTTGTATACATGATCCATGTGATGGTGGTGATTCAAAGGAACGCTTGCTATGCGGTAGTGCCACTGTGTTATGTTAGCGCGCGCGCGTGTGTGTGTGTGTGTGTGTGTGTGTGTGTGTGTGTGTGTGTGTGTGTGTGTGTGTGTGTGTGTGTGTGTGTGTGTGTGTGCGTGCGTGGAGGTCGACAAGGTAAAGGGCCTGCGTTGTCTAATCTGTTGACAACCCTATGCCTCTGTTTTTGCCCACACGGTGAAATGAAACAATCTGAAAGGGCCGAGTGCGCCTGCGCGCGTGCACCATAAGATCATGGCGGTAAGGTGTACCCTTCTAACCTTTTGTCTTGCTGCTAGCGGCTTTCTTTCGTTATTTGTTTGATGTGATCGCAGCTGGAGACAGATTGGTGCCTCGCCAAGGTTAGCCAGAGTCGCTGTTACACTGTGTTGAATGAGGCGTGAAGTATGCATACAAATGTGCCCCAGTGGACTGTGGGATTGGGCGCCGTGAAAAAAAAAAACAAGCTTTGGGTGGAAAACTTTCTGCTGGCTGGTCAGGGTCGCTGTTTTGATGAACAGACCATAGAGCCAATGCTCCCTTGCGCGTGAATTTTCGCACACGCTCACGCGTTTGTGTGAAGGGCAGCGTGGGGTGGGGCCCTTAATATGTGTATCTGAGTGCACGTGAGCATAATTCATGACTCAGAAAGGGGGAAAAAATCAGCTCCTTTCTCATCAGTATCCAAGACAAATCAATATAAATCCTCGCTTTCCTTTATTTATGCTTTGGTCAACAGCCAGCCCTGCCAGTGGATTTGCTCTGTAATTAGATTACAAGTAGGCAATACATCACGATTCGCCTTTTGCGGTTTGCGTCTGAATGCTTATATTGAGACCGTGATTCTAGTAGCACAATTTCTAAAACTATTAACATCTATATCGTCAAAAAACATTTGCGGAATGCAAAACTAAGAGCACATTGCTTTACACTGATTTGGTAATTTTACAACAGCCTCCTTGGTTCTTCACATTCTCCTCCTCCTTCTTCACTTCCACGTCTCCTTGGCCATCGTCAAATTCACACACTTCTCACTTTCCTGCTCCCTCCATTGTACTCCTCACCGACATCTTACCCGTGCATTATTTATAGCGCTCTGCAAAGTGATTGCAAAGTGAAGTAATTATCTCAAACTCTTTTCTCCTGTGACAGTGTGCAATTGGCAGAATAGTGTAAATAACAGCCATAAATGTGTATGGTTTTGCAAGGAGTACGTGGATCGTTTGGAAATCGAGAGCGAAGCAGTGAGTTGTGTTTACGGTTCTGCAAAAAAAGAGTGCTCAAGGGCGCTCAAAGCGCGTGTCACGAATTTACAAACTCAGTACAAAGCAGTGTTTTCAGTTTTGGAAACCCTATGAGTGGTTTTGTGATAGCTATCAAGAGTTTTGAGACAAAAATACAATTTTTACCAAAAGTTAAGCAAGAGTCATTTGCTTTTACAAGAGAACGGTGATGGTTTCCAGTGTGGCGAAAGATTTTGTCTGAAGAGATTTGCAAAAGTAGGCAAAAAAGTGCTGAATGCATCATATTAAAATAAATAAATAAATAAATAAATAAACAAGTGAAACCCACAAGCAAGTCAATCTTCGGAGAGGAATAAATATAATGTAACACTACCAGGTTGCATGCCGTGGTAATTAAATGTTCATATTCATAATGTTACTAATAATTGTGATTGTAATATAACTATTTATAATAATTCTTATGCTATTGTTCGTTTTTATCCCAATAACCTTCGAGTGACTGGTTGAACACCTTCAAGACGCAAAAACGGGACGGATTGGCTCCACGAACAATCCAAAGTCCCTCCAATTACACGCGTCTGTTCCATGTCGTCGTAATAAGAGAAAGAGTAAAAATAGCCCGCAGCCACCTTTGTGGTGACTTGAATTTCCCTTTAATCGTTAACGTGCCCCGGGGTCGGTTTGGCGAGCTGACACAACCACGCGCTCACGGCGGCGTGAAGGGCGAGCTTTCGCTCCGTAGAAACGATCCGTAAATTACGGCACCAAAATTCAAGTCGGTCGGTTTGTTATTAACTGCATGCTGCTGCTGCGGGTTCGGTCAAGAAAGACGCGCGCAAAGGCGCACAGGCTACACCGATCGACCGTTCGGCTACGTTGGTAAAAAGAAATAAGTCACAATAAAATACAGATCGATCACATTTAGTAAACGTGGCGCAGCGTAATCGTCCATTTTATCTTAATTAAAATTTTCTAAAGAGATGCCGTTCGAATGTAAATAGGAAAAGGCGAGGTTCCAATTGACTGTGCTGAATTAACCAAAATGGAATCAATGCGCTACATTGAGACACATCGGTTTTCTTCGTCGGCTGTTGGTCGCGTTTAAACGCACATGCGAATCCGTTTTTCGCTCGCAAAATAAAAATCACTAATAAATACGATGTACGAGTAAAGTAAATCATTTGGCAATAATTGTGCGTAAATAGTCTGTCGAAAAGGCGGTGTGAAAATTGCTCGGGGCCACTGTGCGCCGAAAGGAGAGGGTGTGTGTGTGTGTGTGTGTGTGTGTGTGTGTGTGTGTGTGTGTGTGTGTGTGTGTGTGTGTGCTGCGATTTTTTATTGCTTTATGACTGTTATTGACTCCTTGTAAAATCCAAGGAATGGGGGACAAGTTAAAAAAACAGGCCTGTAGCAAACAGCAGATGAACAAATGTGCTGTGCAGCACAAAGGACAGCACACACACACACACAAACGCGCGCGCACACACACACACACACACACACACACACACACACGCCACACGCGCGCGCACGCGCGCGCGCAGACACACGCACGCACGTAGGGACGTGGTGAAAAGAGCAATAAAGCCATAAAGAAGCCTCAAAAGTTTGGCTCCATTGGAATTTAGTTGCCATGAAAATTCTTTTAGTGTGTGTTCAGATTCTTTTAAGTTTCTCTCAGTCGGTGTTCCACGCATCTGTTTCCAAAGTACATCCTGCCAAAATGCATCGAGGCTATACGTTGCAGGAAATGGCTTATGTTTGTGTTACTTGTTTCAGGTGTTTTTTTTTTTTTTTGGAGGGGTTGGGTGGGGGTGTTTATAATTGTTATAATTCCTTAATATATTTTCTTTCAGATTGTCTACTTATTTTTATAAACAAGAAAACTCTTGACGAAAAGTGAAGACTCACAACTTCATAGTAACTAATATATATCGATATCAACGAATCAGGAAACCGAAAACACCGTGTTTAACAACTTTAACCCTTTCACGCACCCTGCAACCTCATAACATGATAAGCTGTTCACTGTCGTAACCGCTGTCCCTGAAAGGGTTCACCATTCAGATCTGATTTTATTGTTTTATTTTTCAATGCGTATATTTATTTTTCTTCAGCATAGGAGCAGCGCGAATAGGCCGAATGCATGACCGTAGGCCTTTTCCAGGCAGGGATATCACAAAATATGTACGTCAACTTGCCGTCGATGACCACAGGCATATAGCCTACTATTTCATTTTACCAATAAAATGAATAAAATTGTATCTGTCTATTCAAAACGGTTTAATTATTATCATTCGTTCCAAATGTTTACGTGTGGGCGTCAATTATCCTGGTTTGAGAAGGTTCTATCCAAAAATAATTTTCAAAAAACCAAATTACTTAACAAAAAAAAAAAAGACCACCAGTCTTTATGTTCTTATTTCCAGAGAAATTCCGTTTCACAAAATATCTTATCTAATTTTTTTTTAAGTGTCCCAATGCAGATGTGCCTGCAGATGTTTATCAGCAACGTGCCCACACATGCTGCTGGGGAAGTTACCGTTACGTTCACACTGCACCGTCAAAGCTACTTTATGGCTGTACAGTATTGTACGCAATAGTAGCATTACTGTGGCGCGTTCAGAGCCTGTGCTGTCCCCCCCCCCCACCACCCTCCCCTCGTGCAGCGTTGGTAGTCATTAATGATTAAACCGCAGTCAGCTCCAACACAATACTGCGGCTTCCCGTTCCCACAAAGCAGAGAGGAAACGGAGCGTCCTGCCATTGCAGGGAGATTCAGGAGAGGGAAAGATCGCGAAAGGGTGTGTGGGGGGGGGGGGGGGAAAGGAAAGTTAAAGAGAGTTCCTCCATCTGTCTATCCATGTGATCTTGCGCATCAGCCAGGTTTAAACTTATTATCTGACCCGTGTTACTTCGCAGAGCCGCGAGAAGGCATGAAGCATACGCAGGAATGGCGGGGGTGGGACACAGTGAAGTAAAAGTAAAAATAGAGTCTTTGTTTCTATTTGTCAGCCATACTGTCTGCAGTATGCCCATTTAGACAAATCGGGGCCTGTAAGGGAACAAAGAGAAGGAGACAGACTGAGACTGAGACTAGCCTATTTCTTTCAGAACATGCAGTGCACATTCATTTTGCAAAACGCCGATGAAATGCAGACTGGCTCGTCTGGCTTTCTTGTATAGGAACAATGAAATCATGATATAATCCATTCCAGAGACCCGTAATGGCTGTATTCTAATCCCTGTGAAGACTCTGTGTATTTATTTCAGCGCAAAATATTACTTGATGCTCACAAGAAGGATTAGGACTGTTACTTTTATTCTCGCCTGTGGTCTTCTTTGCATTCCATCGGTGTCACAAATCAACACAATAATTCACAGGCGACATAAATCAAATCAGGCATGCTTCTTCAGCAACACTCTCGTGATACGTTTCGCACGAGAGCCACACGCAACAACCTTTCTCCTCGTGGCAGTAAGAAACACAAGAAGCACTTCACCCGATTCATAGAGGTCTGTTAATCCCTTGTTCACTTACAATGCAAAGTTAAAGGCACCCATATACATTTTCATGGCCATGCATACTGCAAAACCTCTCACAGATTAAATCGAGAATCGCAGCATTATAATTTTGTATACCATCACCGACACGCGAGCACATCGGGTCACACGCGAGCGGCGGCGTGACATATTTTCGCTGGAATCACTTTAATGTGCTATGTATTATTTGCAAAGCGCAAGGAATATGTTTTATTACTTCCATTTAGTACCCCCCACCCTCCATCACACCACACACGCACACACACACACACCCCTCGGGGCTTCAGTTCGCTTGCGCTGCGCATAAGTGCGTTTGTTAAGAGGCCCAACAGACGGGAGACACAGGGAGAAAGAGAATCAATTTAACGCGCGAAAGACTCCGAGTCTGATTGCGCAATGTCACCGGGAACCAGATGACGACTGTAAAAGTAGATTGGAAGAGAATTAGCAAGAGAGGAAGGCAGATTGGAAAGTGGAAATGGGAAAAGAGGCGACGCACGCGGGCGCGAACACGCACACACACACAAGCACACACGCACACGCCGTCCTCTCCTCCGCCTGGTCGGGGCGACGCAGGCACCGAACCTTCCTATTGGTCAGGGTGTGGTCAGCTGGTGCCCGCTTGCCTCCACCTCCCATATACCCCTCCGCTTGACACGCGCGCGCACGCACGAGAACGCGCGCACGCATGCTGATGCCCCCCTCGCCCTCTCTCTTTCTGCGTGTTCTCCACACCACCCAGACTCCCCGTGTCCCCTCTAACCCTCATCAACCTCACCCCTCCTCCCAATCTGCGATAAACTGAGTGATAGCAGCAGCCCGTCGAACTGTCGGCTATAAAACACAACAAATCATAAAGTGCAGGCTGGGGAAGCAGATGAAGGAGGACTGGAGGGAGAAGCGTTAGCTGCTAGCCGATAGCCCCTTTTCTACTCCTCCTTCTTTTCATACCGCGTGCGCGTTGTTGTTGTTTCGCGCCCTCCCGTCCTGCCCTCCGCTCATCGCCTCCGTTCTTATCCACTTTCCTTGCCGACTGTCCTCATGAGTTCCTATTTTGTCAACTCTTCTTTCCCCGTTGCGTTATCGGGAACGGGCGGAGGCGGGCAGACGGCCGAGTCGTTCTTAGGTCAAATCCCTCTCTATTCCTCCGGATACGCCACTGACCACCCGCTCAGACATTACTCTGGAGCTGCGGCCGTCACGGCCGCCGCGGCGGCGGCGTACAACGCGAGCGGAGGTGGCGTGCAGGACAAGCCCTACCCGGCTTCTACCTATTACCAACAGGCGACCAACGGAGGGTATGGGGGGCATCGGACGGCGGCGGGGGTCGGTGTCGGCGCCTCAACCGGCTCAAGCGCGTGTGACTATGCCACAGCCGCGGCGGCGGCTGCGGCGGCGGCGGCCGCCACAAGTTTCTACCGGGACAAGGAATTCGCTTGCAGCCTGGACGAACATCCCCTCGCGCTTAGCCACGACGTCGTGCACCGCAAGACGGACTGCGGGAGTTTGAGTGGCAAGGGGGTCTTCGGTGACACCGTGAATGACAAGCAAACGGGGTCAGCCCACATTTATCCGTGGATGCAGCGAATGAACGCCTGCAATGGTGAGTGCCCCTGTCTTACTCCAACGCATCTTCCTTGCATATTTTATGATCCCCGTCATAAAACTGACGTTTGTTTCCTCTTTGAGTTTCTCCCTTTCCTCTTCCTCCTCCTCCTCCTCTTCCTTCTTCCCCCCCTCCTCCTCCTCTCCCACGAGTTGTTTTACGATCACCGTTTGTTGGCCCGTCAGTCACTGCTCGCTATTTTACTGTCCGTCGTAAAACGGGTATGTTTGGGTTGGAACTGTTCGTGCCGGTCAAAGCTGCTACCGAGCAGACGAGAAGAAAGAAATCACATGGTGAAAAGGGGCACGTCCTGCCTTCATGCATGATATCTTCCCCCTTTTTGTTTTCTTTGAGACATAATAATAATAATAATAATAATAATAATAATAATAATAATAATAATATTCCTAGTATTATTATTATTATTAACTTCAGAAAAAATGTCGAGAATCTACTGGACCTTCTTATAGTTAGAAGTCATACTGACACTTGCGTGAGTGTGAAATGAGTGAAACTGAAGTCATCTAAATGTTACAACCCAAAAGCGAAGAATATAACTTCATGTTTCCCCCTTAGAAAAGGACATGTTCGACTCATGTTGACAAACATGTTTATTTAGCTTCTTGTCGTTGGATATAATTAAGGAGATGCTGCAGAGCTTATTATGTGGTCAGAGCTTTTCCAATTTATTCAATTATATGGTGACTACTAAGTACGAAAACAAATTCTACAACGAAACCATAAAAGTCAATGTGGTGACAAACAAACCAAATTTAGAGATTCAGAAATAACACACACTTAAAAAGTACATTTATTTCCAAAGTTGCAGAAGCACCCCCCCCCCCGCAACTCGACTCCTATTCACATATGAAATAAAACTACTAAACTCACAACGTAGTGGATATTTTATTGTTCATTGAGCTTTCCCTTTTGTCAAAATACTATTGAGGCCAGTGGTTATTTTGGCCATATTGTTTACTGCCCCATACTGCGCGTATTGGGCATAATTGATAATAAATGTAGTATTTGTTTCTGATTAAATATATTTGACACTCAAAATGGAACATCCCAGCCCGAATTCATTATGTGTTGAATAAAATTACTCTCGTCAACGTCCCTAACACTTTTTTTCAACCCTCCTTCTCTCTCAGGGGCGTTTGGCAGTCCCGGCAGGCGTGGGAGGCAGACGTACACCCGCTACCAGACACTCGAACTGGAAAAGGAGTTCCACTTCAACCGCTACCTCACGCGCAGGCGGCGGATCGAGATCGCGCACGCGCTTTGCCTGACAGAGCGCCAAATTAAAATCTGGTTCCAGAACCGGAGGATGAAGTGGAAGAAGGAGAACAAACTGATCAACTCTTCATCTTCCGCTTCATCCACAGTGAACGGGGTCGATGAAGAGGAAAAACGGACGGAGTAACACAATGAAAGAACGAAGTAGACTATCATAAACGGGGAAGAAGAAAAGACATTCTGAGGAATCCATTGTCATCTTCTTTCATTCCTTCCAACGCTATCGGTCTGAATTTAAAACTCTGGGAAAGGCAACCTGCGTTTGATCGCATTGTATTGTTTTACTCGAGAAGAAACAAAGAGGAGCCATTCAACTCCCTTAATAGACCCCGTTTGTATCTGTGTGGTCTAAAAAGAGAAACGGGGGGACGGGGCCTGAGATGGTAATACTGCGGATGCCGATGGGCGAAATGGTGCATTTTGCTTTGTGCGCTTAATGGTTTAAAACCAATTAGTAAATAAGTAAGCCGTTTGGGCGAAAATGTGCTGTTTAACAACACATTTCACGTTACATTCCCAATAGTGATGAGTTATCTCTTTTCCCTCTGCTAGGCACTTGAATGTAAATCACTGAATTCTGTTGACTTTTTTCCGTCTAATTTAAAAGAACGTGTGTTAAACTTTGAGTCGGACCCGTACACACAAAAAAGGAGACGAGACACCAAATCTAAAACCGTGTGTTTAGTTGGCATTCATTTAATATCTACTGTAGGGTGTAAAAAAGCAGGGTCAAATCCCAATATAAAATGAGCATGAGCATCATTTTGTAAAAGGGGATTAAGGTAACACTTGACCGTTTTACTTTCTCAAGATGCTGTGGTGGTGCGGGGTGGGGGGGATAACATATTCATGTCATTCCTTAAACTACCTAAAATATTCAGGAATGTGTACATTTAGAAGTTGTATATTTTATGGGATTTTTGCATTGTTTGGTTATTATGTCCGTGTTTGTCAAGTACTTAACAATACTACCTATATGTCCAATAAAGTGAAAGGCAATGTAATTTCAGTGTGCGGAAAGGTTGTTTTCTTTTTGTCGAGCATCAATATAAAAATAACAATAACGCTGACTAACATAAAGACGATATATATATATATATATATATATATATATAAATTCCATGATTTGCAGATGACACCGCGCACAATGTTGCTGGTGGTCTGAGCTAATTGATGAGCTGGCCTGATGGGGCGAAAGTTGACCTGGCCTCGAGCCGTGCAGCCAGACACGTCAGCCATAAACACACACTTCACCCAGACAAAGTGGACAATGTCCTTCTGACCCTTTGAACCATACTTGTCCCCTGCGTGACCGGCGTATGTTCCATCCCGCAGGAGAGGAGGCTTGAGTTTAATTAGAAGTAAGGTGCATGAATGCATGCATGCATGTGTATATATATATATATATATATATATATATATATATATATATATGCGCGCATATGCATGCATGCACCTTACTTCAGTGTGTAGTGCATGCAGTTCTTTCAATGTATGACGTAGAAGTCTCGTTCACGTCAAAGATATTTTCAGTGCTTGTGAACAAAAACAATTTTGCCAGGGGAACGAAACGCCTGCCACGTGATTCATATCAACTTCATAGCCGTGTTAAAAAAAATATTTGTTATTTTCTTACAAGAAATACGACTCGAATCATGCAGCGCATATTGTTGATTTCTTGGGAATTAGATTCCTGGAATGTTTTGTCAGTTTGTCCGATTAAATTGTCACCACAAATGCTGCTTCAATTCATTACGAGTAAAAACCTTTTAATCATGGCTGATGTATCCTACAAATTAAGATTACAGAATTCTGATAAAATGTTCAGCGTTCACTAAAATTAAAATCAAAATTGAACTCGCAGCAGCCAATGCACCTCAATAATTTTGTAGCTGCAAGATATTTAAGTTTAATGCTTTCATTCATATTACGTGCATTTTAGTTTTCCTTTTTTGCTTCGTCTCGGCTGTGCAAACTTTAAAATAGTAATTGTAATTTTCTAGCTGAGAGGTACATTCCACGTGACGTTTTTTTCCCCCATTTCATTCCGTGAAGCCACCAGATCGGCCTTTTAACATATACACTTCAATGACTTTTTAAACTTTTGCACGTATTTAATTTGCGGTACTTATTTTTCCCCTTCAGCATTTCTCTTCTAACTATCATATGTTGTGTGGCTTTTTATTCGACATCAAATGATGTGGAAATATTCACACGCCCTCGCGTTTGAGAATGTGCGATACATGAAAAGCAGAGTGGATGTTGCAGATGCAACACCAGACAGTTGAAGTCTGTGATTGAATTTCACCATCTACCTTGCAAATCAAGTAATCACAAATCAACACATTTTCATCCAATGCAGTGTCACAGATCAAGTTAAACACTTTTACCTCTCTTGCAGATGGGAGGAGGCAGCAAGCCAAAAGACAGACGGATCCTATTTTTATTTGACTGAAACTAGACTCCATGAGAGAGGAACAATGATTTCCCATACACTATCAGAGTCAAACGAAAACAGTAAAATAAACCATAAACAAATGCAGCATTCATTAAGTTACGTGTTTTTAACTTGATGGTCGAATTGTATTGATAAAATGGCTCCCACATGCATGGCCAAAGATCTACTGTAGTTAAAAGTCTCAGTCCTTTCATTTTAATCGCTGCAATAAAATCTAACGGCAGTAGGTGACGCTCTGAGCTCAGCTGCGGTAGTATGTGCGCGCGTGCGGGATTGACAGAGAAGGAGGGAGAGAGCGCTTGCCCCCGCCCATGCCTTTATCATTAGAAACCTCAGAACATGAATTACCTATCCAAGTCATCGGCGAGAATTTACGACGGGTCAACAAAACCACGTGACTGCTCCCTTCAGCTCTCGGCGCCCCATCCCGCCCTACCCAACCCACTCCCTCAAACACATACTCGCCACCCCACCCCCATATTTGGACGGCGCATACAAAGCTAAAAACCAAGTACAGTGCATCGCCATAATTCACTAATACTGTACATCATAAATCGATGAAAGTGCTAGCGTTCTATCGAGACCACCGGGAATCCTGCAAATTAAGATCCCCTGACATTTAACTATAAGCGAAGTAACTCTGTAAAACAACCTAAATGAGCTCTTACTTTGTAAACTCGTTCTCAGGGCGCTACCCAAATGGCCCCGACTATCAACTGCTAAATTATGGACCGGGCAGCGGTACATTGGGGGCGTACAGGGATCCTTCCACGGCCGCGCATCACGCGACTGGTTCTTACGGCTATGGCTACAATGGAATGGACTTGACGGTCGCCAGCCGGGGAGGTGGCAACACCAATGCCTCAAACACCGAAGGACACTTTGGAAGAGGTTCGGTCGTCGGGGACGCTCGGAGCTTTAGCCCCCTGGACAGCGAGAAGAGTTTCAGGCAGTCGTCCAGCTGTTCCATCGCCTCCATGAGAGACCCCCTCTCGTCAACGAATTGCGAAGACAGTAAGCAGAGTAGTCGGAGCTCGTCTCCCCTCTCGGAACAAACAGGAAGCGGGCTTCTTCGCTCCCTCAACCTGCCCTCACCCACGTCCAGCGGGAGAGCGACGCAGCGGTTCACGGAGCTGAACGAGAGTGCAGCGGAAGCGGATGAAATGCAGCACATCCACTCGGCCGAGGGCGATCACCAAACACAACCGGCGCAGAAACAAGAGGGCGGCCAGGCGGCCGGCTCAAACCCGGGCAGCACGACGGGCAGCGAGTCTCCACAGATATTCCCCTGGATGAGAAAGCTGCACATTAGCCATGGTACAAGCGTGTCTGTATTTTCCCAGCATAAGTGTTGATAAACACACATTGCGCTGCGTTTATCTGGACACTTGGAAATGATAGCCATACTGAACAGTTAATGAAGGCACATATCCAGTCGACTCGTGACCACTTTTATTTTAAAGAAACCCGATCCTACATTCCCAAAATATTTAATTAGCTACAGCGGACACCTGATTTGATTTTTTTTTAGATTCTCAAATGTAAATGTGGCGTTTGTTTTTTTTTTTCAAATCGGTGACTCAACAGTAAATCAACAAAGCATGCCTTTTATTAATCCTGAAGCATTCTTTTTGTGTGTTCCTTTATTCATTGTCTGTATTTAGAAGCCATCGATGCGAATCGTTGCCCCCGTCTTTCTGGTTTAGAAAATCCCACAAAAAATGTCATAAATCTGCCAAGATAGCGACAAACCCGGCAGTAAAAGCTACAGGAGAAGTGCAGACCAGACGCAGCCGCGGGTGAGAAAAAATGGACAAAAAAAAAAAAGATCAAGGCCAGAAAAGACTTTTGAGGTTGTTGCTTTGAAAATGAATGCGTTATTTTACGTGTGGGCACTTCATTAGGGAAGTGAGGCAGAAGAAGGGGCACCCCCCCCCCCCGCAGCCCCACCATAGAACTGGTAGAGAAGAAATGGGGTGACGGTGAAGCAGAATGACATTGTAAAGCGAGACCTTTTTTTCAGCTGGGTGAGAATGCAATGCGATTGGGAAAATGGTACCGTTTGAAATTTGTTCCCAATCCTTTGAGGGCGAATGCAAATAGTTGACTGAAATGTGCGCGCACAGTTTGAAGTTAATTGATTGTGTCCAATGTGTTCTATTTATTCCAAATAACGTAAGGTGTTGCTGCTACTAACAGTCCTCAACTGTTTGTCCGCTTCAAAACCCTCAGATATGACGGGCCCCGACGGGAAACGTGCACGGACGGCGTACACCCGCTACCAGACACTCGAGCTGGAGAAGGAGTTTCACTTCAACCGCTATCTGACGCGCAGGCGGCGGATTGAGATCGCGCACACGCTTTGCCTCACGGAGCGGCAAATTAAAATCTGGTTCCAAAATCGAAGGATGAAATGGAAGAAGGACAACAAACTGAAAAGCATGAGTCTTGGCACTGGCGGGCCAGCCTTCCAACCTTAGGGATTAACATTATTAGGCTCTTCATTTAAATTTTAAATCCTTCGCCCATTAAGCGATTTTTTTTTTGCATCCAACGAGAGAGAAACTGAAGACAAAAACGTCAACAAAGCCAGATACCAAGAGTGTAAAAAAAAAAAAAAAAGAAAAGCAACTAGGAACCCCAAACGAGACTCCAAATCAATACTGTACAAATATATGACACCTCATTTGTGACCCAGTATTAATACAGCACTTTCATCTTTCATTACTTCTGCATGATGGGGCTACTGCATTTTAGGTTAATGTCGAACTATTCACGTGGTACTTGGTAGAGCCTTCTTGTGTTGTGATTTTTGAAGAACGAATATCCGCCTTTGAGGAAAGGCACACACACACACAAAAAAAAGCGCAAAGATATCTCGCATTGCGTACTTATTCATAAGTCTCATAATATGTGTAGCTTGGTGGAAATTGGTTATGCCTATAGTACAAATTTAAAAATGTTTATTGTAAGTTATTTGAGCTTCCAGAGCCTACTTCCCAATAAACATCCCCCATGTTTTAATGCCAGAAACTGCTCTGGAGTTTTGAGGGCTTGCTTAGCGTGTAAACTGGATTTTTTTTCAAACTTCCCGTTCTGTACCATTTCAAGTGTAAGTGTATATTATTGTCATCGTGGGGCTTATGTGTGTAAAATGTATTTTAAATGTATGGCTGTCGTGTATTAATAGCACCTGATAAACCTGATCCTCTTGAGTTCTTTTGTGGACAAAATGATTGCCATTTATTTTGGCAAAATACTATTATTGTGCTGTAGTTTGCAGTAGAACTGTGCTGCATATACTGATTTGTTTCTAATATCACCCTCAACATGATGCAGCACACTCCTACAAAATGCAAATTATAGCACACGCATTAAACAAGGGCATGTGTTCAACAAATACCTTTCTTGCAGTATAAATCAAAACAAGGAACCTTGTAAAGGCATATTTGACACACGATTACCACCATCAATGGTATCGGTCTTCCGACCCAGTAGAACCAAACACTTATAAACAAGAACTTGCAAACCGAACCTCCACCATGGCACCACTACGATTAAAGATTCTTGAAACTATATCCTAAGTAGCATCACGGTTTTGGATGAACTTTTCTCTCAAACAGAACAGGGCCCATATTTTCTTCTCCTGCATTTCTGCTTTTCGTCTGCATGGATTGAAATGCATCATGTCGTCACATCACGCTCTCCTTTCTCTCCTCCTTCTACAAACAATTTAGTCAGTAACGTTAGTTTGTTCAAATTGTGAACAGCTTGACTCAGAGACTGCACCTATATTTCCTCAGCAGCTTCACAGCCCAAAGCACGTCCATCACCAAACAAGGTGTTCCAAGAACACACACAAAGCAGGGGCAAATGTCATATCACCTCATCAGATCGGATAAAACAAGTTGTTCCGAAAGTCGCCAAAGGCTCTCGGCAACGCTCGGTAGTAAATTCGTCTTAGCTGCTACATTCAGGCAGTAAAATGCAAAAGCTTTAAAACTCACCGACTGATGTACATAAAGTATATTCTGTCTCCTTTTGTTTCTTTTTTTTTCTTTTTTTTTTCTAGGAGACTCATCCGTACACGACCGCCATTCGCTGCCTCCGTTCATGCGCTCGTGAATTGAGATATTTCCAAGCTAACTATCGTCTGCTTTTAGGTTGCCCCACGAAAACGAACGCAGCTTTGACATTTCCATGTCAAACAGATGAGTGCTTTTTATCTTCAAGTTGCATCGTTAAGCTCAGGCCTGCATGGCCTCAGACTGATACCGCTCACTGGCTGTCCTCTGGTCACGTGAGGTCCATAAAGCTAGTTTTATGGTTTTGGGGAGTTGACATTGTACAATATATTCCAGATTCTAGAAAACAAGTGACGGTTTAACGGCTTCACGGGGATCCTAAAAAGGGTCAGTAAAGTCGAGGCAGAGCAGCAGAGGGAAGGGAGAGCGGATAGCGAGCACAGGCCACGCATGCAGGGCGGTCACTGCTCCCGCTCGGGTCCGCACACTGGCTCGGAGGATCGGTCACGGTCGCTGCGGATGCTGAGAAAAATATGAAGGAGGAAGGAAAAATTGGCACATAGTAAGTACTCTTTATCCCTGGACCGCTTAGAGAAAGCAAGAGAGTTGATGTGTTTGGTTACAGTGCCACTATTTGTTCCACGGCGCAAATATTCCAAATGAATCCGCTGAAGTTCATTGACTGCAGCATTTGTACCGTGCGCATGATTGGTTTTCACTGTGCAAAATCGTGAAACACAATTAAGTACAGCAAGAACTTTCAAGATTAAATATATGCAAAGTTAACCTGGGTTTCATGCGCCTGTCCGTTGAAACTTGCAGATCATGTCGTGTATAGTAGGTAGATAATTGGGTTTTAAATGTCGCAAAGTTCATGTTACAACGTGCGGATGTCCTGTGTATTTTACACTGCTGATAATGTAAACTATAAACACAATTTTTGTAATATCCGATTAAATTTAACTTTAAAGCACAAATTAAACAATGTCCTTTTATTTATTTATTTATTTATTTTATGAGTCGCAGAAAAGTCAATGTCAAAATAATTTTAATTTCTGAATGACCCAAACATGACATGAATTGTCAAAAAAAACAGAAACAAAAAAAAAAAACAGAACGTTTCGCATTTAAAATAATGGTCGTAATGTGATTTCGGTCAATTTTGGTGGGGAATTACTCTAATAATTCTGTGTATAAAAGAAAAGATTCCATTATACAGTCTGAGCGCTGTTTGCATAAATTAATTCCAGTGTTTGAACCGAAGCCTGAGTCTACCGGTCACGTGGCACTTTCATGTCGCTAGCGTCCACCTTGTCAATTATTCACCGTTGTCACGGTGACCGCTTTTATTCCTGGCAGGCACATCGCACTCGATGTCCAATTATGATAGCCTTTGTGCTTCGCGTATTCCAATTGATTTCGATTGAAATTTTAAAAATCCCAGCAAAGCAAACAAACTCAGTTGCGTCACTTCATTTTCAATTCGTACAAAAGATAAAAGTCATGGAAGTGAAGCAACAGAGTCATTTTATGCAAACATTTGGATTGCTTACGGTCAATCCGGTGCCTTTTAGTCAGCGAGTTGTTTTCTTGTTTTCCTCTCAAACACTGATATTCCATTTGGGCTATGTGATTTCAGTTTGGGGACAGATTTACCACCAGTCTGACATGTATGGTAACTTCAACGACAACCCGAACATCAGTTTTAAAGATATCTGTCTATCTATCCATCCATCCATCCATTCATCTATCCATCTTTCTAGCTGGCTAGCTAGGTAGCTATCGAGCTAGGTAGCTATGTATCTATCTGTCTAGCTATCTATCCGTTCTTTCTGTTGCAAATATGTATTTTGTTTGGTTTTATATTATCAATGACAAATCTACCACGAAGTTGGATTGCTGCATGTTCAATTTTTAATTTTTACTTCACATGACGCATATGTGACTGCTAAGTTGCTTTTTACAGCATGAATTCCCCGCTTCACTCAATCGATAGAAAAGTAAATATAAAATAGAGCAATTGTTGTGTCAAGAATTGCAGCCAGGGTCTGCCAGGAAATTTCTCTTCGGTAAACAGGAAGGCAAAAACTTCCCTTTTGCTTTTTTCCCCTACTTCCTCTTTTCAGTGATGATACAGGAACCCCTCCACAACAGGTATCCCGCGACTCCCATGCGCAGAGCATACAAGGAAACAAATGACCCCCCCCACACACACACACACACACACACGCGCACAAGCTCGTATGAACCTGTGACACAAATAGGCTATTTTTGAAGCGAGAAAGGCTATGACGAGAGAAGGCGTTGGAGCAGCGCTTGTCGGCTCTCTTTTGTCTTTAGCGCGTGTGCGTGTGTACGTGCGCGTGTGTGTACACAAGCAGCTCCACCCTGCAGAGCTGCTTTTCCACCATTATTCATATTATGTGCATAGGCTTGCTGTCTTGCTCCTTTGAGATTGCACACTCCCACTAACCTGGCCCGCAGGTGATGACGAGTAGGGGTGAGTCACAAATATTCCTTGGCCCCCTTTTTTTTCTTTGCATTGCGGAGGTGTGTGTTTGTATGGGAGTTGAACACTCCAGAAGCTTTTGTGGAGGAGTGATCAAGGAGTGTATTGTTGCTTTTGACAGCCGCGCAACACGGATACAGGCATGACTGGGGGTCGTGTTGCAGTGTTTTTTTTTCTCCTGCCTTTGTGTGAGCAAAGTTCGTGCATCTTTTACGTTTATGTTGTTGTATGCACAGTCACACACACACACACACACACACACAAAAACGGTTTGTCAGAGGCCCACAGTTCACTTCAACTACTTAAAATCCAACACACCCCACTCTGAATAATCCACTTCAGTATCATCGAATTGCTTTGCTTGTGAACCGTGTCTTCTGCATACTGATGGCAGCTCATGAATAATCTGCCAAACAGGAGTCATTGCGAGGTCACCAGACAGACTGCAGCCACACAGCTCATGCTCGGGTGTGAGAGGAAAGGCCCATCAACCCCCTCCCATGTGTGTTTGTTTATGTCACTTAGACGGAGGAAAGAAAATACCCTAACAACTCACTGTTTTTGTTTGTGCATCGGTGTCCCAATTTCCAGGTCACAGGGAAAGGAAGTTTACCGCAAGCAAACAAATTACACCCTCGGCCAGTTGGATAAATACATACATATCACATAGATTTGTAAAATACAGGAGCTCGGACATTGGACAACAACATTGAATGGGTCTTGATTGCTGATGGTGGTGAAATGTGTGTGTGTGTGTGTGTCTCTCTCTCTCTCTCTGTTTATATATATATATATATATATATATATATAGAAAACCGATGTTGAAGGCCGCAATCATGTTTTCGATGTTTCCTCCCTCAACACACCTGATTCAAAACAACAAGCTAATCAGCAAGCTCTGCAGGAGCCTGGTAACGCTCCTGTTCATTTGAATCATGTGTGTTGGGTCAGGAAAAGATCTAAAACATGCAGGATAGTGGCCGTAAGGACCAGAATTGTACACCTAGGGCCCTATTTTCGCTCCGGTGTAGCCTAAAGTCTCACTCCAGTGAGCATGGGTGGAGTTTTTCCTTCTTTTGGTATTTTTGCTAGACTTCACGCTGGTAGAGTTGGGTGTAACAAGGTGTTTGTGCCATTGTGCCCAATATTGGGATGGAACGTACAGGGTTTTCCCTGACAGTCCTCTTCGCCATCCTTCATTTGCATCAAAATCAGAGTACGCCGTGCTTGTTTTGCGGAAACAAAAATTAGACTCGCTGGAGTTTGTGCGTGGCATTGGCAGGAAGATCCCACTCACCACCCCCAATAGTGACGAGAGCCTATTAAAATATTTTAAAGATGATAATGATTGTAATTTGTGAGCTGAATTGATTTCTACAATGATTCAGAGGGATTGTCCACGATAGATGAAACACACCAAAATCGCGTTAGACCACCTGCACTGCAAAATAGGCCACCTTTCAGCCTTGTCCTCTACGCTGCTTTTTGTAAACATATTTACGGATCCGCCGGTAGGTGTGGCAGGTAGTTCCAGTGAGGCGTGGCACGTCTCTCACATTTACAAACACACTGAAATAGGCACCAGTTTTTAAACTGAACCCAGACTACTTTCTGTCACCAAATTATCAGGTGCGTCGGGGGTGAGGCTGTGAGCGTTCGCCGGCACACCCAGACAGGCGCAACAGGGCCCCAAACACACAAGACAAGACTGCAGTGACACGAAAATGAATTCAATTATGCCTGTTTTTATGCCGAGCACACGGTGTGAGTCTACCAAAATAGTGTCCTTATGGTTTAATTTAACACAAAGCTGATATACTGCACTTGCAGGAAGCAATACAATGCTGTTGTATTCAGGGCAACAGGTGGGTACTCAAGTATATTATGTACCTTCTGCCCTGACTGAAGGGCATTTCTTTGTTCTGCCTATCAATAAATAGTTGTTGGCATTGATAGATGAGGAAAGATAGATTTGCAATTCATAAATAAAAAGAATGTATTTTTGGACAAGTGACGTGACATTGGATAATTTCTCGCCGCCATCCCCGATGAAGTCTCACGGACAGTTGGGGATCCAACCATTGCTTTATGCCTACAAGGAATTTATGGAATTTGTCTGTCTATTGCTTGAGTGTGTGCTGAGGAGAATCCAAAGAATGCAGCTCTCCCCCGCTGCCACCAGAGACCGCTTGAGACCGGGAGGACAAGATGATGCAGACCATAAACCCCTTAACTTTGGAATACCTCCCATATCCGTTTAACGTTACAACCCACCCACGTCAGAATTGCATGTGTAACTCACTGGGAGTGTGAAGACAGGTGCAATTATGGACTGCATTTATATAGTGCTTTATCTACACCATTTACACCATATGGTGCCCAAAGCGCTTCACAAAGCCTCACATTCACCCATTCACCCACACATTGAAACACAAATGGGAGGGTGTTTCCACACATGGCACTGCCTGGCCCACAGGGAACGAATTAGGGTTCAGTCAGTGTCTTGCTCAAAGGCAGTTAGACATGGTCACAAGTGTTGAGGATCGAACCCACAAGATCCGGGCTGGGATACGACTAAACCATTCTTTCACCACGTTTCCTGCCTGAGGGGAAAGAACTAGCACCAAGTATTATCAGAGCAGAATTCTTGGGTGTCAACTATACACAGCCCACAGCAGAAGGTTCAAGAAGTTGAAGGGTCAAAAGTTTACCGTTGTGCATGGGTTCCGCCCTTGCCTTGCCTCTCCGGCTCCTCGCGCTCTTCTCCAAACCAATTGCTGTAAGTCAAACGCAAAAATGGGAGGGCAGCAGAGAGGTATGGAGGAGGTACAGATGAGAGAAATGATGACAGGAGGCAAAGGAGAGGTGAATACATGACCTTCCTTTTCCAGAGACAAAAGCAGAGGGCTGTGCATAGCGTGTGAGTGAGTGTGGGGTGAATGGAAAGTAAAAGAGGTAAAACTGAGGTGTTGGATGTGGACATATTGGGTGACATGGAGGTGGTTTGGTGTGAGTTGCAGATTTTGCTAACACCTGTACACATCTGTAATGTTTTTATAGGTCATAGGCATATGCATATATTTTTCACCACTGAAAAAAATGGTGCGTTGAATTGACTCATTTGAACCCTTTCAGGCACAACGGTTACTACAGTGGACATTTTACCATGTTATCAGATTACAGGGTGCATGAAAGGGTTAATTTCGTCAAATTGTCTGAAATTAAATAATCTGGACCAAAATACATTTTTAAAGTAGACCATATATGTCTACTTCAAAAAAAGTGTCGACATCCAGATGATTCTGTTCTCTTCAGGCACTTGACGAAATAATCTGGACCAAAATACATTCTTAAAGTAGACCATATATGTCTACTTCAAAAAAAAGTGTCTACATCCAGATGATTCTGTTCTCTTCAGGCACTTGACAAATTAAAATTGAGCAAACAAAACACTTTTTTTTCAGTGTTAGTATAGTTAGTACACCCGGTGTGAAGTTTGTATTTTCTCCTGTGCTTCGGGATTTTTTTTTTTTTTAAACATGCAGATTCGGTGAGAGGTACGCCGATACAGTAACCTCAAAGCTCGCTCGGATAGTCTGCAGCTCCCCAGCGACCCTATATGCAGCATAGAAAATGAATAGAAGTTTTTAAAAAAATATTGTGGATATACACCACACTATAGAGACGTGTCTTATAGTTTGAGTCCAAGGGTGGTGACTTATTATATTGTTCAATTAGAAACTGTTGGTTAAATTGGTGTATCCCTCTTACACGTTATTAAATTAAGAAACCGTATTCCATAATAAATGATGATCACTAAAATAAATTGGACTATATCTATATCAGTGAAGAATTTTAACCACTTCAAGTTGTTGACCACCAGTATTTGCTAACATGCACTTTTATGAGTATTCTTCTGATTCATATTGAGAGAGTAAAAGCCCCCTTTCACACTGTTTAAATATAGCCACATGCCAGCTGCATCCTGCCATTATCCAACGTTCCAATACGTCAAGGAGAGCAAAATTCGGAACTATATTGTATTCACTTTTTGTCCTTTAGCCTCCATTCAAGTCAGCTTCTTCATTAATAAAATGTCGGATGCATTGCTAAAAACTACATTAGAGGAAGCTGTCTTTCCTCTTGGTTCATCCTGAGTTCACCATTGATTGGGTTTAGGTCATATCGCTCTCCTGTCTGTAAACTGAGTGATAATCAATCAATATGGCATTTTTTAATTGCTAAAGCCTCCTTATGTCCTTTTTTAAAGCAATGTGACGGTTTCCAAGACTGTATGCGATCAAACGTGCACAATGTATTAAGGCCAAGATATGCACATCTGACTACAGATTAAAATGGATTTAAATAAAGGCAAAAAAAAAAAAGCCCCAAACCGCCTGAGATTTTAGATTTTCACTTACAACTTTAATGCAGCATTTTATCAAACAATTATTTGCTCATAGCTTGACACGATAGCAAAGCCATCGTGTGTTAGGAATTGTTTCACGACAAAAGATAATGAGAAATGACATTCGGGGAGAAGAAAAATCGGTTTCAGAGAGCGATATAAAGACCTGCCCACCCCCACCGCACCCGTCGGCCATTTTTCTTCAAATTAATGACTCTCAACTCAATTTGCGATGACGGAGGGAGCGAAAATCACAATGCTGAGCGAAGGAGTAGGCGAGAGAGATGGACTAAGTGGCAGAAAGAAAGGGTGCGGAAGAGGGAATGGTGGGGTCGGGGGATGGCTGGGGAGAGGCGGGGGGCGGGGGGAGAATCGAGGGGCTTTTGCTCGGGGTGAACGGGAGGTCACTAGTCACACCATGACGTTGAAAACAGGGGACGCGCCTCGCACGTTTAACAAAGCGTTCCCGGCAGATTAATTGGAAAACTTGAGTCCACACACACACACACACACACACACACACACACACACACACACACGCGCGCGCGCGCTCAATGTGAGTCAATGCCTTGGAGAGCACGCAGTCCTCGGCAGCCCTGAGCCCTAAACAGTTTGCATTAATAGCAGGGAAATACTCCAAGGGACACGCCATATACGCGTGTCGAGTCTTTAATTGCGATCGCGTCACGGTTGCGCACTGCAAAGTGGTGTCACTGTGCTCCTGGATTTCATCATCACCAGGACGACTTTCAAGGTTATTTTTAACATGGCTGCTACTGAAGAGTCTTTCTTTTCTTGTGCCGTTTGAGGGGCTGAGTGTGTGGAAAATTACAGCGAGTTCTCTTCTCTCCTTCTAGTTTGTAGACACCTTGTGGAGACGTCGCTATGAATGGGGAAGAACGCCTGCTGAGAATACCAGGGATGCCTTTGCGGATCAACAAAACGAAAAGGATGCGTTCACAAAAAATGGGACATGATAAGACGATGGAAATTGGCCAAAATTGGAACTGGAGCCGGATTCGAGAAGGGCACAACAGTGAGTAGACAGAATCGTGGTGGGAGGGTGAGGATCTCCTCTCTTGTGGTTAGCTTGCTTGCGTGCGTGCCTGCGCGTGCGTGGGTATCAGGTGGTGCAGGTGGTGAGGGGATTGGGGATACCACGTGGTGCAGAACCGTCGAGATGAACTGTCTGCTTGGTTTATGTCGTCTTTTGATTTAATTGTAATGTAACGTCACGAGTGAAGTTCAGCTGCGCAAACAGCATTGTGTTGTATGAATTCAATTTCATCGTGCACTTTATTTGCAAGCTCAGTCATTTTACAGACCGCAACGCTTTATTTATGACTGTTTTGTATTTTATTTTATTTTTTCCAAGATATGTTTGCAGCTATGACTTCGCGTTTCGGATGAGTATTTCCCCAACTGACCCAATTCACGTCCAGGCCTGGGAATAACGGGAACATTTTTCTTTTTCTGTCCGTCACCCTGCATAACAAAAGAACTGCAACGATCTCGCATTTATTTTTCAAATTGTCCACAAAGGAGCCGCTGTCACTTCTTTGTCGTCTGACTAACAAGATATGGGCTATTCGTGCTATCTGTGGAACGTATTCATTTATATTTTCTCCTTGCACTGATCATATATATATAGGCCTGGGAATAACGGGAACATTTTTCTTTTTCTGTCCGTCACCCTGCATAACAAAAGAACTGCAACGATCTCGCATTTATTTTTCAAATTGTCCACAAAGGAGCCGCTGTCACTTCTTTGTCGTCTGACTAACAAGATATGGGCTATTCGTGCTATCTGTGGAACGTATTCATTTATATTTTCTCCTTGCACTGATCATATATATATCTATATCTATA